GATTGAATTTTTTTGAGAACTTTTTTATGATTTTGGATTTATGGGTTGGATGACTTTTTGGTGGTAAAAGGTGTCTTCCTCTACTCGGATCGGGCTGTCAATTTTTTTCTACACTTTTAGGTGTGTTTTATGCAAGAAATTGCAATAAAATAGTCTGCCTAAGAAAAATTCCATTTTTTTGGGAACTTTTTTGTCATTTTTGATTTATGGGTTGGATGACTTTTTGGTGATAAAAGGTGTCTTCCTCTACTCGTTTTTGGCTATCAATTTTTTTCTACACTTTTAGTTGTGTTTTATGCAAGAAATTGCAATAAAATAATCTGCCTAAGAAAAATTGAATTTTTTTGGGAACTTTTTTACGATTTGTGATTTATGGGTTGGATGATTTTTGGTGGTAAAAGGTGTCTTCCTCTACTCGTATTTGGCTATCAATTTTTTTCTACACTTTTAGGTGTGTTTTATGCAAGAAATTGCAATAAAATAGTCTGCCTAAGAAAAATTGAATTTTTTTGGGAACATTTTTATGATTTTGGATTTATGGGTTGGATGACTTTTTGGTGGTAAAAGGTGTCTTCCTCTACTCGTATTTGGCTATCAATTTTTTTCTACACTTTTAAGTGTGTTTTATGCAAGAAATTGCAATAAAATAGTCTGTCTAAAAAAGAATGATTTTTTTTGGGAACTATTTTACGATTTGTGATTTATGGGTTGGATGACTTTTTGGTGGTAAAAGGTGTCTTCCTCTACTCGTATTTGTCTGTCAATTTTTTTCTACACTTTTATGAGTATTTTCTGCAAGAATGTGCATTAAAATCGGCTGCCTAAGAAAGATTCAATTTTTTTGGGAACTTTCTTATGATTTTGGATTTTTGGGTTGGATGACTTTTTGGTGGTAATAGGTGTCTTCCTCTACTCGTATTTGGCTATCAATTTTTTTCTACACTTTTAAGTGTGTTTTATGCAAGAAATTGCAATAAAATAGTCTGCCTAAGAAAAATTGAATTTTTTTGGGAACTTTTTTATGATTTTGGATTTATGGGTTGGATGCCTTTTTGGTGGTAAAAGGTGTCTTCCTCTACTCGTATTTGGCTATCAATTTTTTTCTACACTTTTAGGTGTGTTTTATGCAAGAAATTGCAATAAAATAGTCTGCCTAAGAAAAATTGAATTTTTTTGGGAACTTTTTTATGATTTTGGATTTATGGGATGGATGACTTTTTGGTGGTTATAGGTGTCTTCCTCTACTTGTATTTGGCTTTTAATTTTTTTCTACACTTTTAGGTGTATTTTGTGCAAGATTTTTGAGGGTTGATTAAATTATTAAAAAGCGTTAAATTATTTTTAAACGAAAATGACAACAATGATGGCGTCGCATACACAGACGTTGCTTGAGTGTGTCAGTGCTTCAGTAAACAGCGCCAATTTGAGCAATTGACCGTTAAATGAACTATGATATAATACATTGTTTTACTATTTATTGCTTAATTTTTAATATTTTAGCATGAAGTTATATTAAATGAGTAGAACAGCCCTATTCTTTTAAACCTTCCTTTATCAAGTCTTGATTATTTTAACCCGAAATTATTATTTATTTCAGAGAAAGTTGGAAACCACAAAAAAACGTCCTTTGCGCACATGGCCTTAAGTATTAAATACGTAAAACTTTCTAAAAACAGTATTTTTTATTAGAAGTAGAAAAAATGTAATCTTACCTTGTATCCAAGTGCCAGAGAACAATTTTACTAAAAATAGTAATCATAACATCATCTTCAAATTCAGAAATTATCAGTACAAAAAGTGTCTTCTAAGTCTCGGTATCACGTCTTTTCCCCCGCCAACTGGTGGACCCATGGCGCACATTAATTGAATTTCTATTAAATTCAAAGGTGTAATTTGCTTTCGATCGTACCTGTTTTAAAAAAAGGAAACAAATATTCCAAATTTTGTTTAAATTAAAAAACATTTATATATTATTTTATTATTATTATTATTATTATTATTATTACTTTAATTTAATTTAGCAAATTGTACATACACGTGAAAAGTTATTGCCCTCTAAAAAAGCACTAAACGAGAAAATAATAAATATTGATTTTAAAATACTTTTTTCTCGAAACAAGGACACTTTTTCCAAAATCGGCCGAATTGACAAGGATCCTTATTTCATAAATTTTCTAAATCTGTAAGATTGTCCGAATCCATACAAAAACGCGATTGTAAAACGAAAAGTAGGAAAGTAATATAATAAATAACAATTGCGACTGTGTGCTCCCTGCATGGTAATAAAAAAACTTTAAATAATATACCTGTTTTTTTTTTAAATTAAAAACAAAATTATCTTAAAAAATTGTTCACTTTTTTCATTTAAAAAAAATTTTTGAAGAACATTTGTAAATCAATTTTTATTATTAATTTATTCACAATAAAAATCAATGATCTAAAAGTCATTTGTGATAAAATATTAAATATTGAAAAGAAAAATAAGGAGAGATAACAACAATAGAATCGACAGGAAGTCTAGTCATAATAAACCATTTATGACATCCTATTGTATTAATTGTCCTTCTATACCTGAATATTGAAATTAAATATTATTATTACTTGAAGTATTTGTTTATGTTTCGTTGCGTCCTATCGCCGTCAGGTGGCAGAAGCATGCAGGAAGCACAAAGTTGCCTACTTAAAAAAACTTTTTGCAAAATTAAACTAAAGAATTATCAATTGGAAAGAAGATTATTAATCTATATCTTATTTTATTATTATATCTATTATTTTTTATCCAAATTAAAAATAAAATATCCAAATATTCTTAAAAAAATTTTAATTTTTTTCATTTTTTAAAAATATTTAAAGGACATTTTTAAATCAATTTATACGATTAATTTATTCACAATACAAATCAATGGTCTAAAAAGTAAATTAATTAGATGTTCTATCATTTAGCTATTTAAATTTTTTTAATTAAATTATTTTTTTGAGTAAATTTGCTTTAAATTTTTCCGCGTTCCTTTTTTAGTAATGAATTGTTTTGAAATACATTTTTTTATATTTTGTAAACAATTTATATAAACAAATACATTGTACCGTAATTTTTGGTCGTAAATTAATCGAATTTTTAATGTTCAGAATATAAAGTTTTAAGTTTTTGGGAACGCTAATTCCAAAGAGGTCAGATTTGGATTCAGCGAACCAAAAAACCTCCAAGTACCGAATTTTGAACGAATCGAATCGATTTAAAAATTTTTCCACTATATTGGGTGGCCATATTGGGTCCGCCATTTTGAATTTTTAAAATCTGTCATCAAATTAGGATTCAGACCCAAAAAAATAAATTATCTTTTTTAATGTTAAAATAATTTATTAAGGAAATTAATATTTTTAATGTAATAAACAAAAATTAAGAAAATTAATCTTATTGCAAGAATTATAAATAATTAGATTTAAAATTAGGATATTCTTTACCAGCCTAACTTTAAAAATTTATATTTTGATTTCTTGAAAAACTCTTTAACTCACAAAAAATGTCCTATACATATTTTTTTTAGGGAACTCTTGCGTGAGAACAAAAATCCTATTGTCGAGGAAATATTTTAACTTTCTTTTGACACATATTCTAATATACACCATTACAAAAATTATTTTAATATTATTAGTCAAATTTTGGTTCTTCAAAACAATTTTTTCATTAATAAAATACATGTTAAACATAATATTGTTCTAAAATTGAAGCGATATGAAAGAAAACAATTTTTTTAACACTAATTTTAAATAACATTTTTTTTTAATACATTTGTTTCAAACTTGGAAATTTTTTTTTAAAATCATGAAATTAATTAGTAAATTTTAGTGATTACCTTATTTTTAGTTAATAAAAGAGCAATTAAAAATACATGCAATTAATTTCTACCTATGCATTATTTTGTATTGACTTTATTTTATTTGTAGAGGAATGTGTAAACTACTTATAACAATAATTTACCTAAAGTTCTTTCAAATTATTGTTTTGGTTTCGGAAATTATGAACAATTATTTGATAATTTTATTTTTATTATTCAAGTAAATATAACCTGAATCCATAATTTTTAATTTTATTCGAATTTTACGAGAAAAACAATTGTATCACCTTAAATCTATTAAAACAATAACATTTTTTTTTAGTCACTCGCGATAGCTAGAAAATTTTAGCGCTGTTGCTATTCGTAATCCCACTTCAGATATTAATAAATAATAATTAATTATTAGAATATTTCTTATTATTAAAATTAAAAAGAAACTTAATAAAAGAAATGAAAATGAAATTATACAAACTTACATTTTTTTTCCCGAGCGTTATTTTATATATAGCTAATTCTTCATAGTCTAATGAATATAATTGTAATTAACCATTGAAGGAAAGTTATGTCCTTTTTTCACTCTTCATATTACTCGACATGCATCACTACACAAACTTTAAAAAAAAAAAATATCTGAAAAACTTCAACACTGAAACTTCACAACGCGAATGACGAATGGTTATTGTTGACATCCCGTGAATGGAAAGCGACGCCATATTTACAAAAACAGCGCGTGCGTAAAGGCCAACGCACGCGCCATCTCGCGAACGAGATGCATGAGATAGAAAAGGATACATATATATCTCTGACCTTTTCTAACTCATGTTTCACGTTCGCAAACGTCTTTCGCGAAGTTATTCTGCTTAGGCTTCAATTCAGCATGCCAGCGATTTATAACTGGGATCTAAACTATTTAGTTCGTAAACATGAAAGCTTGAAATATATTTTTTGGTAGAGCCAACTAAAATTTCCCGATTGATTGCCACTTTTTGTTTTGTTGTGACAACCATTTTTTTTTGTAATGCCAACTAAAAATGCTCAACTAAATTATTTTACATTTATTTGTTCTTAACGTTTTATTTAATAGAATAATTAGTTTTTTTTTTATTTACAACATTCAAGTTATTAAAATCATAATCTATACGATTGAAGAAGCCAAAGAAGAAATTCAAATCTATAAATATATTATATTTTGACTAAAACATCATGAGCTTATACAATTAAGTAATTATAAAAAAATTGAATTTTACATTCTTTAAAATAATAATATACGCAATATTTATAATACAAAGTTTCTTCGTCACAATATCGGATAAACAATATAAGATGAATGGAGAAAATTTTTATTTGATGAATCATATTTTTTTTGTTATTTTGACTTGTTTTATATATGAATATTCGTTAAATGTTATCCAAGTTTTCTAAGGTGCCTAATTTGTTTTAATTAACTGATGATCAATAACACATATCTGTAAAATAAAGATATTTATACATATTTTGCAATGAAAATAATGTTTGATTTTAAAGATCATTTACATCTCATTCCCCCAAAAATCCTAATTAATATAATTTTATTATTTTTTACCTTATTCATTTAGCTCTAATTTTTAAATTTACGTTAATTTTCACTATTTAGCAGTAGTGATAAAATTTTTACAAATCAAAATTTAATACTTACATCTTAAACTCTTCCAAAATGTTCGAAACATGGAACATCTTTTTGAACAACAATCATTGTCTTTTTCACATAAATGCATATTGTTAGTACATGATTCAGCGTCAACTATTGTTAACGTTAAAAATAATGAATAAATTAGTGTAAAAAAGATTAATAGTAACATTTTCATTTTGATATTGGTGTGAATTAAAAAAAAAATTAAATATTTTCAATTTATACATGAAAACGTGACTATTTTCCTTCAAGTTAAAAGAGAAGTCATTGAATTAGAATAAAAGATTTATAGAAACACTGTTTAAATTCGTTATCTCAATGATTAGATAAATAATTATATTTGTAATTCTATAAATTATTATTTTTATCGTTATACATTATATATTAAAATAATAAAAAAAAAATATATTTTTCTTCTAGGGTCATTAAATAATATTAATATTAATTGTCGTTAAATAATTTGACAAGTCATTTGTAATAAATTTGTTTTTCTCAAATTTATAGTTAAAAACACCTGCGAATAAATTTAACTTTAATGAAAATTTAATTAATTTACATAAATATAAGACGTTCTTTGTCAAATATTATCTCTTCATTTTTTAAATTTAATTAAAAAAAAGTCTTTTGGAAAATTAAGCCTAAAATATGTACTTTTTAATGCCGTGGGGCATTTTTAGAAATCCAATATGGCGTCTAAACTAAGTAGAAAATACAAATTTTAATATAATTAATTAATTGATTAGTATGATCTATAAATGTTCAAAATTTTCATTTGCAACCGTAAATCAACTGCGGAAGAGTTGACAAAGAAGCTAGTAAGTAACTTCCGGTTTAAAAATTACAAAATTCAAAATGGCGGATCCAACATGGTAGATAAAAATTTAAAAATTGATCTTAACACTTAAAAATTATTACTCGGGAGTTTCCCGATTTGCTGATTACGAATCCAATGTCAGTTTTTAAAAATTCAAAATGGCGGACCTAATATTGCGGACAAAAATTTAAAACTCAATTGAATTTACTTGAAACTTGTTACTCGGGGATTTTTGGGATTGTTAATTACGATTATAAAGTCAAATTTTTGATATTCAAAACAATGTTGATTGAATTTTTAAAAATCAATCAATCAATTCAAATCAAAAAATAATTTTCTTTAAAAAAATTATTGTAATTTATTATTGACTTATTTATCTTAAAACAAAAAATACTGAAAAATCTTACAGTAGACTTCAATTAAAGTCTAATAGATGTCGCGTCTTGTCGATAAAGTCATTTCCATCTTATTTGTAATTAAAAATATTTAATTTACAAATTACTTTACTTAATTTTTTAATATTTTATGAATTTTTTTTAAATAGCCTTTTAGTTTTCATATTTTATTTTTCATTCGCATAAGTAGAAAAAAAAATTGCTAAGGAAAATGAAATTACAAAACATATATATATATATATTTAAAGGAATATGAAGTGTTTTTATTTGATTTTTTTTTTTTTTATTTAAATAATTAACAATTTTTTTTTTTAAGGCAGCAAATCTTCTTTTTCATAAAATGCTTTCCCATTGTGCTTCAATAAAAAAAGGCACATTACACTATACATATGTATATATTTTAGTCATATGTATATATATTTTATATTCACAAAATAATATTCATTGAAAAGCCATGTATAATAATAAAATTCGTACAAAATCATTTGTATAACAAAAACAGAAAAAAGTACGTCTAAACATAATATTGAGTATCTAAGCACTTTGCACAGCGCAAGTCGTTGATCGTAACCGATCTATTTTTTTTTTTTTTTATTTTTCATAATATATATAATATATATATAAAAAAATCTAAAAACTACATTCACATACATTCTCTTGAGTATATTATACCGTGTCTATAATAATTTTATCGCTTTTATACTTACACAACTAACTATCTACATTTCAATTAAAAACTAATATTGGCCTTCATGAATTATATATTGAGATTAATATCAAATTTTTCCCCCCCTCTTTTTCTTATAATTGTCGCTGACGGTCGTTTTTACAGTGCGACCAAAAAATTATTATCAAAATATCTATTATTTTTATTGTTTTTTTTTTTTGTTTTCTTTTGTTTGTTTTAGTTTTCTCTATCACAGCGTCTACCACTCGGGCGAATGTAAAAAAAACAAACATCATTAAATTTTCTAAAAGAATTGAGACTTTAAAAAAAAAATACAAAATAAAAAAGAGTTAACCTCTTAAGGCACAATGTGAAGCCACATTAGGTGTAAAATATTTCATTGTTCAAAATTGACCAAAAAAATTATTTTTAAAAATCAACATTTTGATTCTTAAAAATTCTTCAAAAAAAATATTCGAATTTATTTATTATATAAATTAAAAATTTTCAAAAAAAAAATTTATATTTAATAACCGGGATTTCGAGGAAAATCGTAAATTCGAATTTTACAATAATTTACAGTAACTGTAAAAAATTTCAAAAAAAAATAAATTTTTTTTAAGTTGATTAAACATTGCATCCAATAGAAGGTTTCGTGACTATTAAATTAATTGCAAAAACGTTGACATGTTAACAATTACTACATAATAATTGTTACTATGCATATAGTAACCGCTACTAAGTTATGTTAACAGTTACTGTAATAAGCGTTGCTATAGTTACTATATGGTATGGTAACCGTTGTCAAGTTAACAATTACTATAGTAACCGTTACCATATTAAAAGTTACTATAATCACTGTTGCTATAGAATAATAGTCGCCATGTTACTATAGTAACTATATTGCTAGGTTAACAGTTACTACAGTAACTGATGCTGCGGTATCTGTTATTATATAGTAACCGTTACCATGTTGGATGTTACTATATTTACTATATTTAAAATTTACTATAGTAACTGATGTTAATTATCAACCGTTGACACTTTGACAATTACTATAGTAACTATTGCAATCTTAAAAGTTACTATAATAACTGTTTCCATGTTGACCATTAGTAACCGTTGTTATGTTACTATAGTTACTATAGTAACTTTTCATATATAATAAATGTTGCCGTGTTAACAGTTACTACAGTAACCGTTGCTGTTGTAACTGTTATTATATAGTAACCGTTATCTTCTTAGAAGTTACTACACTTAAAAGTTACTAAAGTAACTATAGTAACTAAAGTTGTTGTTAAAAGTTTCTATAGTAACGTTTCTATGTAGTAACCGTTGCCTTGTTAACAGTTACTACAGTAACCGCTGTTATGGTAATTTTTGCTACATAGTAACTTACTGTTGCTATGTTAGCAGTTACTTTAGTATCTCTTGCTAAGTTAACAGTAACTATAGTAACTGATTGCTAAGTTAACAGTAACTATAGTAACCGTTTGCTAATTTAATAGTAACTATAGTAACTGATTGCTAAGTTAACAGTAACTATAGTAACTGATTGCTAAGTTAACAGTAACTATAGTAACCGTTTGCTAATTTAATAGTAACTATAGTAACCGTTTGCTAATTTAATAGTAACTATAGTAACTGATTGCTAAGTTAACAGTAACTATAGTAACTGATTGCTAAGTTAACAGTAACTATAGTAACCGTTTGCTAATTTAATAGTAACTATAGTAACCGTTTGCTAATTTAATAGTAACTATAGTAACTGATTGCTAAGTTAACAGTAACTATAGTAACTGATTGCTAAGTTAACAGTAACTATAGTAACCGTTTGCTAATTTAATAGTAACTATAGTAACTGATTGCTAAGTTAACAGTAACTATAGTAACCGTTTGCTAATTTAATAGTAACTATAGTAACTGATTGCTAAGTTAACAGTAACTATAGTAACTGATTGCTAAGTTAACAGTAACTATAGTAACCGTTTGCTAAGTTAACAGTTACTATAGGAACTGTTGCTATATAGTAACCGTTGCCATGTTAACAGTTACTGTAGTAACCGCTGCTGCAGTAATTTTTGCTATAAAGTAACCGTTGTTATACAACATCCGTGTTAACCATTACTATGGTATCCTTTGCTATGTTACCAGTTACTATAGCAATCGTTGCTATATATTAATCATTGCTATACTAACATTCACTATAGTAATCAATACCATAGTAACCGCAATCATAATCAAAAGCCACGAAACCCTTTTTCGAAAAATTTCATCTTAATACAAAATTCATCTAATCAATTTTTACAGTTCACAAATTTTTTTTTTTTCACGCAAATTCCTCTAATTTATTTGTCTACTGAATCATTTGCAAATATCGATTTTCTTCGAGCAACGAGCTGAGAGAAGATGTCATGTCATTGACAATCATATTAGCACTTGCTGGAAGTGGCTGCGGTAACGACATGGGATGAGTGGAACTGGAAACACTTGCCTCGTGAATTTGTGCAGCACCAGACCAATTTCTACATTGTTGAACATATTCAAGTGTCCTTCTGTATGAATCTTGTCTCATTCCCTGCGGTGGTTTCATTGGTGAACCTTGCTGTGATTGACTGATGTCACGACATTGAATTTCTTGTGTATTGCCAGTTTGATTGTGATAGCATTGATCAGTACCATTGTAATCCCATTGACAACCATTGGTACAATTGTAACGTGGGGGATTATTATTATTATTATTTTGTCCATGACAAGCATGAGAACAAAATTGAACATGACTCGAATTATTTTGTGAGCAAGCGCCTCTTATTTCCTTTGGAGTGTTTGATGTAGCTGGTCCAGGAAGATTTGGTCGATGACAATTAGCTGAAATTTGTGGACATGGAGATGTTTGCATTCGTTGTGGTGATTGCAAGTCGTGATTCATCGAGTGTTTTTGATTGACGAGCGCTGAAGGTGAACAAACGGGAGCTACTCGATGACATTGCTCCATTTGTTGAACTGGTGGTTTGGATAAATGTCTATGGGATTCAGGCATTGCCTGGTGGCATTGATCGCTGGCTGGGGACATGGCACATTGATTGTGTACCATGTTAGCGGGAATTGGTCGATGATTTTGTAATTGTTGATCGTTACAATGGGGTGAGAGTGGTTGACAACTTTGATTTGAAACTGTTGGTCTGGCGATGTGTGCCGCGGAACATGATTGTGTTTGCGGATGAAGTGGAGAACATGGTTGAGTATTCATTGGCTGACAATTGACTTGACAACCATAGCCGGGGTAGAATCCATGATCGTTGCAATTTCTTGTCAATTGAGCGGTATTGGGTTGAAGATTTTGCGGTGGTTGTTGAGGTGGAAGAGCACCAGCGGCTGGTGAATTAATTGGCTGATCGCTCACGTGACTCGGTGCATAATGAGATCCCGGTGACATCACCTGTACAGATCCTGGACTAGCGATTTGTGAGGAACAATTTTGGGTGGAAAAATTTTGCGGTGGACAATAATTGGAGGCCTGTGGGATACGGGAATTTTGACATTGGGAATAGGGTGAGGAATTGTTTGTGTAATCGGGACAATTTTGTTGCTGATTCGATTGTTGGGACATGTAGCAACGGGATATTTGTTGATTGTAATTACAAGTTTGTTGTTGCCGTTGACAGTGAAGGGGATTTGTACAAATTGGTGAACGACAATTTGGTAGAGGGCTACCACGATAAGTGACTTGATTGCCACCGGCTTGAACTTGATTGAGATATTGGAGAAATTCATCGGGCATGACGAGTTTATTCTCGACCATTTCGCCCTCGCCAACTTCGTCTAGAATTACCTCTTGATTGGGATGTAGTTCGGGCAGTTGGGCTGATCTTGGTCTTGGAGGCATGGGAGGCGATACTCTTTGACCCAGTTGTCGGGCGGGTTCAGACATTCGTCGATCCGCTGTTGGTTGTTGAAAATGACTTGTTGACATCCAATCACTGGCAATTCCCTGCGGACCCTGAAGAGACATGTTTTGGGTTTGAACGACTAAATTGCTGGTGGAATAGGGTCCTTGAAGATGAACCGAAGGATTCATTCTACTGGAGGCTGTGCTCATTTGACTACTTCTTCGAGAAGTACCGGGACTGATGGGATCATAGAAACTTCCAGGTCCCATTGTTCCAATTCGTCCCATGGCACTGACACCACTTGCCTGGCTGCTTCTTCTACTTCCAAAATCAGTGGATTTCATGCTTCCATAATAAGTACTGACGGTGCAGTTACTGTCCCTTCGAGGTTCACTTAGAGGTTGTAATCTCAATTGCAAATCAGAGAGGCTTGTTTGTCTATTGGGTACGCCCTCCATTTTGAGATCAGTGATTCTCTTGTTTAGATCACCGATATTTCCCTGTGGTTCCATTAGACCGCGACCACCTCTAATACCACCAGGTGATATTTGCGACAGTGATGATGGTTTTGAGCTTAATCTTCCCTTCAAGCGATTCCTTGAAAGTGGCTGAAGTTGTTGAACCTCAAGACCACCAACCATTGCCCTAAGAGCAACTGGAAGATCAGCGATATCCAAGTCCTCTGGCTCTTCGTTAAATGGTTCTTCAGCGAATACAACACCGTCAGCCGACACTGGACCAATGTTCACACCATTTGAATCTTCATTACAAGTAGCGACGTGAAGAGGACTTCCCTGTTGTTGCATCATACTCGGTGGACTGTTAGCTTCACTTTCAGATTTAACACTGGGGCTCGATAAACTCGGCGTTTTTGGATGAAGATAATCACTTCTACTTGGACTACTCTGTCCACCCATTCCTGGCTCATCACTTCCAGTTCCATCGCCACCACCTCCATTACCACCACCGCCACTTCCACCTCCACTTGATCCACTTCCGCTTCCTCCTTTATGCTTCTTATTGGCATAGAATTCCGCTCCATGAACTGTTTTAACATGCTTTCGCAAAGATGATGGATCTGTATATCTCTTCGAACAACCTGGTGCTTTACAAACGTATGGTTTCTGAAAAAAAAAAATTTGTCACCCAATAAGAAAGGAGAAAAGATTTATTTCTTGTAAAAGAATATATGGTCAACTTACTTCATTAGAATGTGTTCGATTCTGATGTTTGGCTCTATCGCTCGCGTTGCTAAAAGCCTTTTGACAATGGGGATATTCACAGGTGTACGGCTTTTCACCAGTGTGAGATCTTAAATGAGTTTTTAAATTCTCCAATCTTGAATATGCCTTGAAACAGCCCTCGAACTATTTGAAAGAAAGAGATTATGTTAATTTTAAATTCCAAATGTTTTCTTCTTAATAACTTCTATTTGGTAATTTTTCGGTTTACTTTACTTACAGTACATTTATGTGGCTTTTCTCCTGTATGCCTTCTCATATGAACAACCAACATGTATTGAGCTTTGAAGGGTTTTTCCTTTCTTGAACAATCCTCCCAACCACAAACAAAACTCTTTTTACTCGCATGAATATGATCATTGTTGATGTGCTTAACCAATTCATCCTGTTAAAATTTATTCAGATTAGAAATAATTTTATTATTTTCTAATTTTCAGATTTTTTTACAAAATGGAATGATAATTTTAGAAAATATACCTGAGATGGAAATTCTTGGCCACAATCCCTCCAATGACAATTGGTTTCAATAAAATCCCCGGGTTCATCGCGAAGATCTTCACTTGGACTGTTACCTTGTGGATGACTTGGAGGTATCGTTGTCGTTGTTGTGGCAGTTGTTGTTGTCGTTGCTGGCTCTTTCTTCACCTTTGTCGATGTCCTTCGGGTCGATGTATCAGCTTCAGCTGTAATTGATCTACTCGTGACATCCGAAGCGTTTCTACAGGAATCCACATTCTGAAGAAAAATAAACGGTTTTTTAATTCGGAGATCAGTGATTATAGTTTTGTTTTTGAAATTATGGATCAAATCATTAGATTTAAAATTAATATTTAAAGAATACAAAAAAATTTCTCAAAAATAAGAACAAAAGAGATTTTGTATTGCAAACTATCGTAAAGCATTGAAGAAGTCGTAGTTCCCTGATATAGACGTAACTCCGGATACCCGTCTGAGCGCGTGCACGTGCAAGTATATACGTGACTCCCCGCTACGCCCCTGGCAAAGAGTCCTTCTGCATTTTTCTTTCCTCTCTTTTTCTGCCCCCCCAGACAAACAGACACACACATGGATAACATATACACTTGGATTTCAAGCTATACTTGAGTTTTGCTTTTCCTCTAGAATCCCTCCATCAATTCCATTCTCCCTTCCAAGTGCCATTTCTCATATATATATATATATATACCTGTGGCGAATACAACACAGTGTACCATACTGAAAATATGCAGAAGCATCCACAACTCTAAAAGAGGGTAAAGGAGCGAAATACAAGCCGATACAATCGGACTGAAGATTTTACAGTGTGCAGACATTATGAGGTGGTGGGGGAGTTTAAAAAAAAAATGAAAACGCCACCGCGGATGTAAATAAATCAGGATGAAAAGAAAAAAGGAATTGTATGAAGACTCAAGCGAAATAATGTGTGTGCGCGCGAGATTGGTTGTAACCCGAGGACTGGTGCATAGTAACCCAATCCGTTCCAAAGAGGACCAAAAAACGAGGCATCGAAGAACTTTTTTGCGAAACAGTAGACCAGCAGAAAAAAATAAAAAAAAAAAAAAAGAGAAAGAACAAAAAAGGAAAAGACTTATACCAGCACTGTTCGAAACGATTATTCAATATTATTTGTTTGTAATCTTTCTGTTTTTTTTTTCTTTAGTAGTCAACACTTGTTACGCTTTATGTCTGCACCTGTTGAATTTATGCCTTGTGTTTTGCAAACAAGTTTATTTTTCCATATCGTTGTTTTTGATTCATTTTATATGTTTATTATCTGCATATTGATTTGATATTATTGGAAGATTTCTTGGCTGGGGATTTTTTGGTGACAATTCTATTTTATTTGGCTCATACATTTACGTCTATTGGACATATCAAAAATTGTAATAACTTTAACAAAATTTAATGTTTTTTAGTAGAATTTAGCGTATTTCCTTCAGGAAAAAAATATAAACTAAAAAAAAATAACACATTTTGTTTATTTTTTGGTCCATTATTAAAATTCAACATTTTTTCTAATCAAAATGCATAAAATTAACTTGAAACTCTCTACTCAGAGGTTTTCAGACTCGCTGATTACGAATTCAGTGTCAGTTTTTCTAACTTCAAAATGGCGGGTCCAAAATGGCGGGCTTTTTTTTAAATCGTTTGGATTCGCTTGAAACTCTCTACTTGGGAGGTTTTCGGGGTCGCTGATTACAAATCTGGTGTCAGTTTTCCAAAATTCAAAATGGCGGAATTTTTTTTCAAAAATCGTTGCGATTTGCTTGAAACTCTCTATTTGGGGGTTTTTAAGGTCGCTGATTTCAAATTCAGTGTAAGTTCTTCAAAATTTAAAATGGCGGATCCAATATGATGAATAAATTTATTGAAAATTCAAGTAATTCACTTGCAATTCATTACTTAGAAATTTTGTTGGGTCGCTGATTGAAAATCTGATGTCAACAACCCCAAAAAGCAACAAGTAACGAGTTTCAATTGAATTAGATGTATTGTAAGAAATTTATTTATTATATTAAATTTGAAATTCTTAAAATTGACATAAGAATTTCTAAACAATGCGTTTTTTCTATCAAAATTTCCAAAAAGAGAACGATTTTAAAAAAAAGTCCGCCATTTTGAATTTTGAAATACTAAAATTTTTAGAAGTGTGTCCAAATTACTTAGTTTAGTTAATTAATTTCTCTAAATTCAAAATGGCGGATCCAAAATGGTTGAGATTTTGAAAAATCTCTCAAAATGCTTCAAAACTTGTTTCTCAGGGGTTTTTGGAATGGCTTATATTAGTTATTATGAATCCGATGTCAATTTTTTAAAATTAAATATGGCGGATTCAATATGGCGGTAGAAAAATTTAAAAATAGTTATGATTTCTTTGAAACTTGTTATTCAGGGGTTTTCAAGATCGCTGATTACGAATCCAATGTCAGTTTTTCAAAATTCAAAATGGCGGATCCAATATGGTTGATATTTTGAAAATTCGATTGAAATGCTTTGAAATTTATTACTCGGGTGTTTTTGGGGGCGCCGATTACAAATCTGATGTCAATTTTAGAAAATTCAATATGGCGGATCCAATATGGCGGTCAATTTTTTTTTTAAATTCATTGGATTTGCTTGAAAGATATTCGGGGTCACTAATTGAAAATTTAATGTCAGATTTAAACTCAGCGACACTGAGAACATCCGATTTTATGAGTTTTTAGCAAATTCAAAAGATTTTTAAATTTTCTACCTCCATATTGAATCGTATTGAAAAATACGAAAATAAAAAATAAATAAAAAAATAATATTGAAAAACTGACCTCAGAATCGTAATTACCAATCTTGAAACGATAAGATAAACTGCAACTTTCTTTTCTTCAATATCGACTTTTGCCTTATTAGAGTAAAAAAAGTAAGAAGTGGTTTTCCATCTTGAAAAATAAATGATCAGACAAAAATGTCAAGTTTCCATTTCGCAAAAAAGTTTTTTTTTTAACCAAAAATGGATTTTTGAATCTTAATTTCAAGAAAATTCAATTTTTTACTTTTTATATTTTTCCCATACTTTTTTATATGGCTTCTTTATGAGATAGGAATTTAAAATTTTTATCGATGACATATTTTCCTAGCTCAAAATCATAGGGAAAATTTGAACCAAATTTATTTCTGACGCTCGTAATTATCAGAAAATATTTGTTTCATAAAATCCGACAATTTTTTTTTTCTTTTTTTAAAAAAAAAAAAACAATGTTAATACTTACTTCGCTTTTGGTGGGTACTACTCCAATATGATTTGCAATGGCGGTCGTTCCCGTGGAATGTGGCGACACTGGGAAAAGTTGTGTATGCGGACTGATATTGTGAGAATGACCATGTGAATGAACATGGGGGTGAGGATGAGAATGTGGATGTGAATGCCCATGGGGATGAGGGGCTTGTGCTGGTGGTGGCGGTGGTAAGGGATGAGAGTGTGGCAAAAGAGCCGCAGCAGCAGCGCTTCGCAACAGGTGAGCTTGCAATTGTTGAAGATGCGGTGTCATTCCTGGATGCATTCCCAGTGCTGGACTCATGGCTGTAACAAAACAAAAAAAGATTTTACCATTTTTTAAGCGTCAAAAAATTTCAAAAGATTTTATTACTTTTTAAATCACTTTTTTTTAATTCTTAGTAAAGGAAAAATAAATAATTTAAAAATAATTTTATTCACTTTGTCATTGTTCGAGAAATTTAAAAAAAATTATATTTTCCAAATTATCAAATTAGATTTCATAATTGAATAGTAAATAGCAAATGGTAGTTATTTATTATTCTGTAATTTGACATATTATAAAATTTACAATTTCAGAATGTTTGTAAAATTCTGAGAAAATGAAAGTAAACATGCAAAAGGTGTAATAATAAATTTTCTCAATTAATAGTCTTCGTGTGCTCTCAACGAACTTCCGGCAAGTATACAAAGTTTGAATAAGAATTGATAGGCTCAGTCTTAAGTCTTTTTTTCATCACAAATTGCATTTCTAAAACATAATTCTTTTAAACCAAATTTTTTCCCTCTTTTTTTTGACAAAAATCCAATATCTTTTGAACTAATATCGAAAATTTAGAAAAAATGCCTATAAATGGATTTATAATTTTAAATTTATTTAAAAGAATAATTTTACAATTATACTTTTTAGAATTTAGAAAATTTTTTAATAAAATATTTTTAATTTCGAAAACAAAAATAGTTAAAATTCTTCGATTCTTTTTAAATGAGTTTAAAATAAAATAAGCGACAAGCTCGTTACATCTGGCGAATCGAGAATGAAGACTATACCTGCGGTTAACAAGTCACGCCAACGTACAACCGCACCACGTTCGCCATTTGAATTCTAATTCACTGATTACATTGATTTCATCGCAAAATAATCTGCCTTTACCTTCTAAACATATCACAATATATATATCTTTATTTAGTCACTTTATCGTTATAAAATTAATAAAAATCAAACTTGACTTGTTTTCAAAGTATTGTATTATTACAATAAAGGGAAAAATGACCTTGCACACTGCTATAATCAAATTCTAAACTCGAAAAAATAATTCTTCATTGTTTGGTAGTAAATTTAAAACAATTCTCAACAAGTTCAAGGTCTATTGTAAAATAATTTTTATTTTAATACTGTAATATTTACTAAATATCTTAAATTTTTAATAAATAAACATTTTTTTCTATGAAAAACTTTGTAAATGTTGGAAAAAAATTTTTGAAAGATTTAAATTTCGCGGGCATTTTCTCTAGAACTGTTCAGTATCGCCCTCTACGTCTACTTTACCGACGTAACACAGATTGGAAACTTGTGATTCATATATTATATACGAAACTAAATTCAATTATTAACTATCATTAATTAATTATTATTATATATTATTGTACTCTTGATTTGGTAATGAAGAATCTTGTAATTCAACATTTTGATACGTAGCTTAAAGAAAATTTTACTATATGAAAGAAAGATTTAAATTTCGCGCTAATTTTTTATAACGGTTCAGTGACGCCCTCTAAATCTACTTTACCGACGTAACACAGATAGGACACTTGTAATTTATATATATTATAATTAATAGTAGAAATATAATTAATACAGTAAAAAACTAATTTTAATTGTTAATAATAATTTTAATTATTAATTAATTTTATTATTATTTATAATTAATTATTATTAATTAATAATTAATTAATTAATAATGATTATTATATATTATTGTACTCTTGATTTAAAATTAAAAATCATTGAATATTTTAATAACTCATATAAAAAGAATTTTACCGGCTGAAAGATGTCCATAGCTGCCACTTGCACTGCTACTTCGCGATCCATTGACTATGGAGGCTAGACTATTGGGACTGATTCTAATCATACTGTCAATGTCAAAACGATCAGAATATGGAGAACTACTCAAAGCTCTCTTACGACTCGCTCTTATTGCCGATGCTCGTGGACTTCCCAGTCTTGAACCTGTAAATAAAATACAAATTTTATTTTTCTTTTATAAAAAGAAAATTCTCTTCAAAATTTTAATTCGTAAAATTGAAAAAAGGAGTAAAAAGTTCGAATTGCGAAATTTAATGCAAGGAGAAAAAAGTTGCACCAACGCCGCCTAGGGTAGCGTCCTTGAATTAGAACCGCTACACCAACGCCGCCTAGCGTAGCGTCTTCGAATTAAAACCGCTACACTAACGCCTCCTAGCGTAGCGTCTCTAAAACTCTCCCGCACGAAATATGCAAAAAATCTAGAATTTCTTAACTATTACCTAATTTTGAAAATTGAGAACACAATTTCTATTTTTTTAACGAAAATTTATTAATCAAATTGTAAAAATTTTTTCTATTTTTTGCAAAAATATTTTTTCTCCTACATTTAGTAAAAATTTTGTCATCTAACAATACTTGTACGTTAGTAGAAAAAAATTCCTTTTAAATAAAATGTGCGAAAAATACTTGTGGCCAAAACGTTTTAACAGCGATTTACCATTGACCGCAGCTATAACCAACCGTAATACAGATATATATATATATATACATATACCATCGTTTCTCTTAAATTCATCATCACACCAAACATTCTCATATACTATAAAAATAAAAAGGCTTCAAAAATTAAATAATAATCCCATCTCATATACCAGGTTGACATGACTGTAGAAATAATTCTGATCCCTTTTTTTTCGTTCTTTTTTTTTACCCCAAAGCGAACATCGTTAAAACATGCAGAGTACCTGTTCGCGTTTTAATCGAGAGGAACTTCTTCTTCGTTCTCAATTTCCACCCGGTTGACCGCATCGTCAGTGCAAAAGGAGAGGAGAACAGTATAGAGTTACTCACCACAGTGAGTTCTCTCCTTTACTTTGTTAAGAATTTTTTTTTCTCTCTCTTTCTCTTCATCGAACCTATTCCAAGCCTCATTTCTTTATAACCAATTCGTTGAGCGATCAAATTTGCTGTGTGGTCACCAAAAAAAAAAAACGAGCGGCACTTCTTTTGAAAAATTTTCGACTTGACTTTGTTTTTTATTATTATAAAGAGAGAATAAATTGATGGAAGGGTGAGAAGTCTGGGTTTAAAAAACATTGTGTGGTAAACCGCACCCGAGAGTTTACCACATGCTTTAGAGTTTTGTTTCTGATGTAATGGGGTGTATTACTTTGTTATACCAGAGCCAATTATCCAATTTGTAATACGGGTTTTTTTTTGGTGTAAATTTTTCCTAAATGGAACAAATTTTTCCTGCAGAAAAAATTGATTTTTTCTTTTAATTCTTATATATAATTTCGTTGTGTCTTTAAATGCAACTACTGGTCGAAGGATGCACTCAACGCCTTGGTCTCAAATCCCGTTCGTTGTTTTTCTCAGACCGAACATAAGATTGAGACATGTAAATTGGTACCTACGATCGGTTGCTTCGATCTTCTCTTTCTCTTCTTGGTGTGTGGAAGCGTGCTACTCCGGGTGCATTCCAAAGTGTGTATAGGCTCTTTCAAAAGCTTCTTCATTACAGAGTTTACTCGCGACAATATACGGTATTTTTTTTTAATTTATTCCTATACCGATTTTATCCCATTTTAGTTAGTTTAAATCTGAAGAAAATAAATTAATTAACTTGTGAATTTTTTTAGAATTTTCAATGAGGAAAAACTCGAACATTATGAAAATAAATTCCATGCGAGGGGGGGAAACAAGGGGGGTTATTTGGATGGTAACAGAGGCAAATCTACTGACGATGAAATGTGAGACAACCTATATAGGGTAGGCGTTAAGGTGTTAATGAGGTCGTGTCGCTCGGAGTCGATTCAATTATGCGGCAGTGCAACCGGCTAACGAGCTGCCCCGTCCTAACCCTTCCTTCGTTTAATCGTCTTGTAGCTACTGCTACATCTCTCTCTCTCTCTTTCCCTTTTTTCATCTGTATATCTCACAGTCTCTCCTTCATGTCCTCGACCAACCCTGCTCCCTGTTCTCACCATTTTCTTTAGATATCTATCGATGTCTGCGTCCTCTTTGTCTCTTATTTTCACTCTAATGCTTTATATATATATATATATAAATAAAAATTTGCAAAAAAAAAATCCTTCGTCCTGTTGTACAGTTCAATTTATGTATATCATCAGTAAAAATATAGCCAAAGAATTAATTATTCAATGAATTCTAAATGGAAGATACAGTAAATATTAGTGTAACGTACAGTGGCGTCATCTGTTGGGTTTCGAACACTACAGATAACTGCCGAGATAACCTTAATCAACCTTATTTTTTTAATTATATACCTAAAAATCACTTGTTACGTCTAATAATAGTATTTTCCTCACAGTTACTTTAAGGTTATGTGATTGTTGTGATTTCATATGAAAATATTCTCCGCAGGTTTTCTCGTAAAAATTTGGATAGATTAAGCTTAAATTTTGTGAAGAACTCAAAAATAGTATATAAATATTTATTTTGCGAGAAAACATACGCACACGAAAAAAAAGTAGAATTTTTACCCCAAAATCGGTATAAAAATTACCTGCAACAAATTTTATCCTAGTTGAGGGCGCCACCGTCTATGTGAATTAGAATTAGTTACAATTACCCGCAACAAAATTTACCCAGCGTTTTTTCTGTGCGTATAGAACATGTGAAATCACAACAATCACATAACCTTAAAATATACTGAATCCTAATTTTTAAGAATAAGATTTAAAAAAAAATCACTTACCATCAATTGAAAATGGAAAATCCGAAGAAGCAATTGTATTACCAGGACCTGCAGCATGCAAAAGGTATTCTGGCCCCAGACCACCCAGTCCTGAAATGTAAAAATTTTTATTATTATTATTATTATTATTATTATTACTAAAAATTATTTCTAAAAATCAATATTTTTCGCCGTCGATAAAAAGGAGTATTAAAAAAAATTTATATTACATCACATAGTGCGAAAAAACAATGAAACTAATAAGGAAATAGACAAGTAATTCTAGAGTATATGCATAAACCACGTGGTTGAAGAATGAAAATTATATCGATAGGACAACAATCCAAAAAGAAAAACATCCGCCGGAAATGCGGGCAGTCTTTGACGATGGGTTTTTTTTTTTTTTTTTTTTTTGCTCTCTACAAAGAAACACGTGAACTGAGAGCATCCGCCCGTATGAATAGGTATATATAGGTACTTCAAGTATTAGTGTAGTTTGAAGAGTACATATATATATATATATATACGCGGAACTAAGATTCAAATTGAGGCCAAGCAAAAAAATTCAAGTTCTTCAACCCTTCAATTAAACTAATTCCTCCCTAACAATATAAATATTTCCACTGGGAGAAAGATATTTAAAATAATGGCAAACCTATAATTAAAATTCATTCCTTCAAACCAGTAATCATATACCAAGTATATAAGAAATTTCCAACAATGAATATTTATTCAATTAGTTAAGTATTGGCAATTAGTTTAATCCCTTGGCTGTCGACGAGATTGCCACTGTTTGGGTCAAAAGTGTGTTGGAAAAAAAATTTAAATGGATTTTTATGAAATATGGTATCTTAATAGGTTTTTGGTGTCGTTAATAACGAATTTGATATCAGTTTTTTAAAATTCAAAATGGCCTTAAAAACCCTCGAATAACAAAAATTTCAAGGGCGAATATGATCAATTTTTAATTTTGTCGCCCGTCATATTGGATCCGCCATTTTGATGATTGAAAAACTGACACTGAATTCGTAATCAGCAACCCCGAAAACCCCCGAGTAACAAGTTTCAAGAGAATTCGATCAAATTTAAAAATTGTTCGCCATATTGGATCCGCCATTTTGAAGTTAGAAATACTGACACTGGATTCGTAATCAGCAAGCCGGAAAACCTCTGAGTAAAGAGTTTCAAGCGAATCGGAACGATTTTAAAAAAAAAATCCGCCATATTAAATTTTGAAAAACTGATACCGGATTCGTAATCAGCGACCCTGAAAACCCCCGAGTAACAAGTTTCAAAAGAATTCGATCAATTTTAAAAAATTGTTCACCATATTGGATCCACCATTTTTAATTTTGAAAAACCGACACCGGATTTTTAATCAGCGACCCCGAAAACCCCCGAGTAACAAGTTTCAACTGAATCCGACCTATTTTAAATTTTGTCGTCCGCCATATTGGATCCGACATTTTGAATTTTGAAAAACTGATGTCAGTTTTAATTTTGACGATATATGCGTTAGCGATAGACAACAGATTAATAATTAAAAAATTTTATTATTTATTAATTTCAGATGATGAATCGAACCATAAAATGTAATTTTCCGACTTCAAAAAGTGGTATTTTTATAGTAAACGATTAATTACTATTATTATTATTATTTTTTTATATTGAAATAAGTGAATAGTTTAAAAATTACCGTGTAACGAGGCGTTGGGACTGTGCGAGGAGGCTTGAAGCTGGTGATAAAGGTGGTCCATGTAGTTGAGCCTATAGGCGGGATGGAGAGCCGTGTGCTCCGATAGGGGGTGACTTCTACGCAAGAAATCCCCACTCGAAGTTGTATTTCCAGTGGCTCCTTCACCACCTCCTCCACCCCCACCACCACCACCTGGCCCGCCACTGTCTCCGCCGTTTCCGCCACCTCCAGTATTACCTACTCCGTTACCACCCCCAGGACTTCCTAATGCCGTTGTACCGGACAATCTGCAAAAAAACAAAAGAAAAACATAATTAGCAAATTTTTAATATATTATTAATTCAATACGAAGATAAATCATTATTTGTATAATCATAAAGTTCCTTGAAAAAGTGAAACTTCTATAATAAATTGTAATTGTAGAGAATTAATTTGATAATATTTCATATACAGGGATTTATTGATTAAACGTTTTTGATTATCAAACGGGGCACCAATGGCTTTGCAAATTCCTTCCAAAGTGGCTCTTTCTTTAGATATCTATCGATGTCTGCGTCCTCTTTGTCTCTTATTTTCACTCTAATGCTTTATATATATAAATATAAATATAATATATATATTTTTACTATAATAGTAATTAAGTCAGTTAATTGGAAGTCATCCCGCTAACTATCTTCGCTGTATTTAGTGGATTACTCCCTCCACAGAAACAGAAACCAATCAGTGTTTCTAAATTCCCACCGCTCGTAGGTTACAGCCAATCGCCAATCTCTGCGGGTCCAAAAAAAGCATAAACCGAAAAAAGTAATCCCTACTAAAACAGTTAGAATAACAGAATTCATCATAGAAGAATTAGAAGGATTTTTCTTTAGGAGAATTCTACATTAGAAGAATCGAAAGAAATAGAAGAATATCAAACGAATTAGAAGAATCAGAAGAATTCATCATTAGAAGAATATTGGAAGAATTCGTCATTAGAGGAATAATTACCCACGTGAAAAGATTCCCAGGAAAGTGCCGGAATTCTCATTGAAAATTCCGACGGAATTACATCGGAATCTGGAATTTCCAAATAAGAATTCCAGTGGAAATTCCCAGGAGCACTTTCCTAAGAATCTTAATTTCCACGTTGGTAAAAGAACTTCTTTATCCAAAAGAGTACTAATTTCAAAATATGGAATACCAAAATGATCTGTTCCCGATCTTTTAAGGACTGAGAAAATTTTTGCAATTAACAAGTTTTCATGAATCATACACGACATCATCAGTAGCGTGATCTTTCAACAAAATCGTCGATCTACAATTTTTTTTTTTTCTCTTTTTTTCCTTCAGATAAAAACCACATGGGGTCCAGCAGTTTTTGTACAGTCAATTTAGCCGAAAAATGTCGAACGAAGGCAAAATGCAGAACACTGGCGCCGCGTCCTCCAAGGACGGGGTCAGGTTGTCTTCCCCGAAAGGGAGAAACGTGCCTGGCTTCCCATGCCGGAAATGCAACCCTGGACCGTTCTTTGTATTCTCTCTCTCTATCTCTCTCTCTCTCTCTCTCAAAAGGTCAAAGAGAAAAAATAAGGGCCAGGTACACAAGTGGTTGAATTAAAAGAAAAAAAAAAAAATTCATGTCTTTTAACAAAGAAGCTCTTTAGGTGTAAAACGTTGGGGAGGAATAACATGATATTTAAACGGGGAAAGATAAACGGCATAATTACAAGGAAAACATCGTCAACTTTGTTGGTCACGGCACGTTTTTTATGAAAGAGGAAGAAGAGAGGCGTTTTGTGTGCTGATTCTATTTTGAAATTTTGTCGAGTGCCAGATGACTTGTATGGCGCTTCTTGATTCTTCTTCCTCCTCTCACAGTTTAAGCCTTCTACGCATTCATCTGTCGCAGTTCTCTTCCTTTACTATCATTGCTCCTCACTTTCTTCCTCTCCCTAACTCTCTCTCTTCTCTCTGTTTCATCTTTGCAATTCTTTACGCCCATGGCAACGCACGCGCGTGTTTCTCTATCTTCTTATTGCTGTATATATGGCGAGGGCGGCTATGAAGATTCAAGTCGTTAACATATACACACACACGACACGCCGGAAATCTATCTATCTTTATCTATTAAATTATTTGTACCACATCCTTTGCCCGAATCCCACGATACTTTTGCCAATATAATTCCTTCACTTCCTATTCTACTTGTGGATATATTATCCTTTTGATGAATATGTCATCAACTTTTTTTAACTTTGGATAATAAATCGTTTTTTTGAAGAAGGAGAAGGAAACAAAATATCGAGAATGGATAATTCGAAGAAATAAGTCGATGACTGAAAAGAGGCAAAATGAAGTGCATCTCTAGCAGACGAATGTTCATGGGTTATTTATTGCCACGCAAGTCTCGCTGAAACGTGCGGCATTGCTAAAAGATGAGGGAGGGAAAACCATATGGTGCGGTGCATTTTAAACTCCAAAAGACGAGGAGAGATAAAAAAAAAAAAAGAAGGAGGAGGAGGAGGAGCGGAAAGATGAAGCGACCAGGAAGAAATAAAGCCTGATGAGGGATTGAAAAATACATGGAAATTTGAGTCACCAAGGAGTCATGTGACATATTTCTTATTTTCAGCTTTTTGACTAGTCCTCAACTTTCTATAATTTTTGAACTTGAGTACTAATCTCTAAACCTTTATACAATCCAAATTTCCTACAAGTACCAAACATCCCTATATAGGATATCCTAAAATATTCAACCTGATTTTTAACACATATTCAGAACTGTAAATTTTGGGGTTCTTTGGTCGTATAATGTTATATATAGCACGACAGCAGACGCATCGTTTCGTGTAGACTTTACACGCAAAAGTAATTTTGAAACGGTGATGAGCATTTTGCTTTGATCGCAGGACAGTAGACGCACACACACGGCGGCTTTGACAAACATTATATACGATATGTGACCATCATGAATGTTGTCTGAAAAATTAAAACTTCTGCTCCTATATAGAAGAGGAAATGATTTATTTTTGTCAAAAAAAAAAATTTCCCTCTTCTAGAAAATTTTACCGCTTATTCTTTTGAATTTTAATTTATTCAAATAACTGTTATTTTTCTATATATTTTTAATAAAACATGGTAAATATTTTCTCAAAACTAATGGTAATACAGGAAAATAGAGGGAATCGAATTAAATAAATTAGATCCAAGAGTGAAGAAATTTTGGGAAGTGTTTTGGTGATAAAAAGAAGAAGGTCGTTTAGTGTATAAGGCAACACTATATATACTCGAAAGCGGAGGAATTTTTTAAAGGCGTCATTAAAACGGAGACACAGGTTGGGTGGAATCGTTTGTACGGTTACCTGTCTCCTTAATGAAGATATTTACACGCCTGTTCAGTCGCGCCCCGCAGCAATCGCGCTCTTTTCGAAAGTCTCTCTCTCTCTCTCTCTCTCTCTTGGCTTCTTTAAAAAGTCCACATCGTGCGGGGACTAGATTTTATTACCTACCCATTGGTGACATATATGATAAGTTCCAATACTACATATAAATATGTATAATACAGGAAATATATATATATATAGATATATACCAACACGATTTTGAAAGTTAGGTCACACAACTCAACAAGTTTTTTTTTCTTGTTTTTTTTAATGATCACCAGAATTTAAATAAAAACGTCGTAAAGTAAGGTTAGTTATTAATCATTCGTTAAGCGACAAAAACTAATCGCATGTCACCAATTTCTTGGTCGAATTCAAATTGGACGACTACTAATTTCATCTTTTTTTTGGGATTTTAATTAGATATTTAAAAAGGAAGTGTGCGATAAATAAAAATAGTTTCTAAGATATAAAAATGGCAATAGTAATTAGATTTACATTAGGCCTATTAACGGTTAATCCATTTCCCAACTCTATAACGAAAATACATAACTTGTTTTCCATTCTCCCCACCAGGTGTTGGATTTGGCGCTTCATAACTCGAGGCAAATATGTATTTTCGAGTAGGCGGAGAATTAAAATTTTTTTTGAAATTATTTTTGGCTTATTATAAAAAAATATTACAAAACAAATACACAAATTACTCTAAATTAGATTCAAATAGAATTAAATCAAACTTAAAGGAAAAACAATTAATTTCGATTTAATTATATAAAGTTAATTTTGTTATGACTTGAATAAACATGCAAAATTGGTTGCTAATTAACAAAACAAAAATAAATAATTTATTTTTTTTTTTTTTGCAACGAGAACTCGTGATGAAAGTTTATCGTGCACCCAGCGGGTGTCTGACTGGAAGCAATTGAATATAATTATCACTGTTGATCATTAAATGTTAGGGGGTCAGACATGAGCTGCAGTTAACAAAGTAGAACGACGATTGAGATTGAAATTGTAAATCATTACAAAAACATTAATTCTTCTGTTTATTATAAAAGGCAACATATATATAGGGGGAGATTTCGGAAATGGTATAATAATAATTATATATTAAAAAGGGAAATTGTATTCAGGGTGCGTATACATTAAATGTGTGGCACGCGACTAATTACCTGATTTTTATAAAATATACATATATATATATATTTGTACGAGAATAATTACCACATTCGTTACGGTATGATTAACTCGTAAATGGAAGATGTTTTAATCAGTTTATGTTTCTTTTTTTCTGTTAAAAACTGAAATACTGTTAATTACAAGAAACGACTCTCGAACATGAGAATTTGTATATTTAATTGTCTATGAAATAGTAGAATATAATTTTTATTTCCCTTTGATTTGAAACAAACTAATAACAATTCATTTTTTTATAGATGTAATCCTTTTACAATCTGTCAGTAAAAAAAAAAAAAATTTTTATAACCCTCTGACATTGTCATGGCTATTTCGAGAAAAAAAAACAACAACATCTTTGAGCTTTGATTCGTCACCGTCATCCAAAATCAAGAGACATGTTATGTGTTATGTACTTTCGCGCGCTTACCATCAGGAGGCACAACTCACATATATAAGCAATCTTCAGGGCCAATCTCGTCTCCGCCCGTCGGGTCGTTCGTCCGTTCTCTCTCGCTCTCCGCGTTTTAATGTCTTCATCGAATCTTCGTTCTGCTCGAGCGAAGTAAATATAAGCAGGCGAAAAAAAAAAAGAAAAAGATCGGCGCCTTTCCACTACAAATCTTTTTTGACTATATCCATAAGAGCAACATTTTGCTCGTGACATATAAGTTAAATTTGCAGACTTTTAATTTCATATATATATATGTATATCCTGCTGTGTATATGACGGGAATTTTAATATA